CGAATTCCTTTGAATTGTGTGTCCTATCTTATGTTTGGATTGAGTTAAGATTATAAGAGCAACTCCAAAGGAAGAGGCATATTGATCCTGTTAGCTATTTTAGCTATTATTATCCAAATATTCTCACTCTAATGAAGGGATTAATAGTACAGATTTTAGTCCTTTAATTTATATCACACCTCCCCTATAGGCGCTGTTTGGGAAGTGCCTAAAGAGGCTATTATAGCCTAAAAAATTTTTTTAGCCAAAAAGTCACTTTTGCAAGCTGCTTCTTCTTCTTCTTCTTCTTCTTCAAAATATATATATATATATATAGGACTGCACAGCCGACAGTGTAGTAGAGAAATTGTTCCATCAATGAACATTTTATGATTTTACCCCTTGATAGCAATTTAAAAAAATATTTTTTTAGGGACAAATTTGTCATTTTAATTTCAAACATCATTTCAAAACATTTTTTAATACAATAAATCAAATAAAATCCATCTCATCTTCCCAAACACAAAAACTAAAATAGCCTACTAAAATAGTCAAAAAGCCAAATAGCCTACTAAAATAGTCACTTCCCAAACAAGATCATAGAATTATATAGTCCATCATATATGAAATATTATATCCAAATAAATTATTAATTCATACTTCAATTATTTAATTAAATATCAAATTAATAATTTTATTAAGGGCAAATTACATATACACCCCTCGAGGTTTGGTTAAATTACAGATACCCCCCTGAGGTTTCGGAAATTACATCCCGCCCCCTGAGGTTTGTATTTTCATAACAATTTACCCCCTGAGGTTTATATTTCATAACAAATTACCCCCTAATTTCTTATGCAAATATAGCATTCAGGGGGGAATTCGTAATTTCTCAAACCTCAGGGGTATCTGTAATTTAGCCAAACCTCGAGGGGTGTATATGTAATTTGCCCTTTTATTATTAAACAATCAATCCAAATCCGAACTCACATTCACCCAAACAAAAATAACCTCCGTCTATAACCCAGGACTAACGAATAACTTTTGAGAGACACAACACAACCTTATGATGACCAGGTTCAAAGTCTTGATAAAAAAGAAACATTCGAAGTCTTGTTGTACTATACTATGCAGTCATTTATTATTTAATTTATTTTTTCTATAAATTATTAAAGGGATTATAAAAAATTAAGATAAATTATATTTCTTAAGATTTGATTAAAATATAAATTGTCTTCTGTAGTTTTGAAAATTATATTTTACCTCTTGAGATTCTTAATTTCATAACAAATTATCTATTTTATTAACAAATCATCAAGTCAATTAACAGTTTTTAATAATGTCATAAATATATTTCAATTAATAATTTAGGTAATTTTATTATTGTGTAGGAAAGTAATTATAAATTTCTTTTTTTTAATTAATTCTGTTAAATAATTTTTTTAATAAAGAGGTATTTGTAATTTTTTAAATTATAAAAAAGAATTTATATTTTAAACAAACTTCAAAAGTATATTTGTAATTTATCTTAAAAATTAAAAATAAATTATAAATATCAGAAACGGACAATAAAGTGGTTGTCAAACTACAGCTTCCTTTTTTCTTGTTAAAAAAAAAAACAAAAACTATTCAGTGGATATGTTTGGTTTGAGTTTGGGAGATGAGTTTTAGAGATAAAAAATACGAAAAGTTATTTGGTTTGGTTTTTTACAAAAGATATTTTGAAAAATTATTTTGAGAGAGAGTTTTAGAAAAAGTGATTGATTTGATGTATATGAGAGAGAGATTTGTTTGGAAAACTTATAAACCAAACAAGTTTTGGAAAAAAAATTTGGGAAAATTTGTACACTCTTCTCTCATAAAAAGTCGAAAAAACCAAAAAGCCTTCTCAAACTAAACTTTTTAACCCAGGTTAAAATAGTCAAAAAAAGTCAAAAAAATCAACCCACTTTCCAAACGACACCTTATTTGTTCAACTTTGGTAGAGCCCCCAGTACTTTTCCTCCACCACAACCACCACCACCACCACCACCACCACCATCACGTGGGGGTTGGTGATTGAAGAAAAAAAAAAAAATATATCTGACCAACCAGCACCTAGTGGCAGGGGTGAGCAGCGGATGTACCGATCCGTCAAAATCGACCAAACCGAATCGATCCGCCGCATTTTGGACGGATGCGTGATGACGAGCGGACGGTTGTGGATTGATTTTCTCCAATCCGCCAATTTGGCAGACGGATGGTGGATTTGAGATTTTTTGACCGTAACTGACCCGCTAAACCGTGAGCACCCCTATAATTTATAAGATTTTGTGTTTTCAATTTGTTTAAATATTATGTTTGTGTTTTCAATTGAAAAATAGTTTAAATATTCTGTTCAAAAAAAGTTTTCAACTTGAATATATTTTTTGAATTGAAAAAAATAAACGTATTATTCATCTATATTTTTTGGTTTTTAAATCTAACTCTAAAAATAATAAATAGAAAATATGATATATGCTGGTTGGTTTTTATTTTCAAAAACATATATAGATGTAACAATATAGAGACATACAATCTCTACTATTGTTCTGTTCATGATTTTGGTGGTTTGAATTGTTATTATATTTTAAGAACCACAGATTATAATACTTTATGTGGATGAATCATGCTGTGATTGTAATATGTGGATGATGCATGATATTCTAAAGTTTTAAACTTTCTTTCTTTAGATAAGGCATATAGTGATTGTAATACTTTTTTAAGTCATTGACTGTAATACTTTTTTTTTTTTAGGAAGTGCACAAGTTGAATTATGTTGAAAATTTATAAAATTTTTAACCGCCAAACTGATTCGCATCCATCCGCCAAACTGCTAATCCGCTCAATCCACATCCGCCGAATTGGCGGATGGATGCGGATTGATTTTTTTCAATCCGCCAATCTGGCGGACGGATGGCGGATTGGAGGTTCCGTAGTCGCAATCGACTCGCGCCCACCCCTACCTAGTGCGGGTGCTGGGGGTCTCCCCGACTGTGGGTGCCAACCCTTTTCCTTATTTGTTTATATTAGATGATGGGCTAAGGTTGCAGAAAGTATAATAATTTTACAATTTTAATATAATTATATTAATTTTATTTTTAATAAAATAATGTTGAAATAAGCCGAGTAAGTTATTTAAGGTTGACTTAAAAATTTATTTGAGATCGACTTATCATTTAAACAAGTTAAGGTTAAACACAATTTAAACTCGTTTAAATAATAAGTCAATCTCAAACGAATTTGTAATTAGCTAAACACGAATTGAGCTTGAGTAGCTTGGTTCGTTTAACAACCGTAGGTTGAAAGAACCGAAACTAGTGCAATGGTATAAAGATACAAAGATAAATGAAGTAAAAATATACATTTCAGACATGACAATATAATTTTTGTTTCATTTACAAGACTAACCGATTTCTAATGAGAAGAGAGTTAAAGTATTATGGGCTTGTTTAATGAGCACTGCTATAGACCCCTAGTAGGGGGTAACCCCACCACCCTCACATACACGTGGGGGGTGAAGCAAGGAGAAAAAACAATTTTTTTTTTTTTGGACCAATCAACACCCACTGGGGGCGCAAGGGGTCTCCTCCAGTGGGGGGTCTCCCCCATTTTCCCTTGTTTAATTGAGCGAATTATAACAATAAAGGTTGAGACCTTCGTTGGGGGTCACCCCCTTCACCCCCTTTGCATTTGATTGGTTAACTTTTTTTTTTTTTTTTTTTTTGGATCTCCCAATCCCCAACCCCCGCGTGTGTGTGGGGGTGGTGGGAGTGGGACTTTTGAGGGGGGATGAATCATTGTTGGAATTATAATATGAGATTGAAATTATTAATTCATGAAACTCACATTTCGATTGTTTAGTTACAAATTTTATTATTTAGATTAGATTCTAGTGTCTATTCTATCTAACAAAATTGACAAATTTTTTAATCCTACAAGTAATAATGCAAAACATACATATAATTGGAATTATATATTTTCAGATTTATTGCAAAACAAATGTAAACAAAAGGAAATTGTGTGTCTCACTAATCCCACTAGATAAACCAATGATACACTAATCTCATGAATTTTTAATTCTCTCACTATTAATTTTGCTAATGGAACAGTCCTAATTAAAATTTTAAAAAAACTTATGCCAAACATCTATAAAATTACTTCATTTTTTTAAAATTTAAAAGACGTCTAGATACTTTATCCTAGATAATAAAGCAAGGGAATTTTTTTTATGTCAGTGAAAAGTAAAAAATATTTACAAATTCATGAGATAACTCATAATTATACTTTTCAATATTTTTAAAATTTATTATAAATTTAAAAATATTATTTCAAACATCGACTAATTTGAGGACCACATGCCACTAGGCACTTGTTGCCCTCACCATCCATCACAAATTGCTTTGACCAGTTTTATTGAGGTAGTTTATAGTGGAAATTACGGTCAGTGTTACTTTCAGAAAATTATAATAAATTCATTAAAAATATATATATATATATATATATTTTTAATTATTAATATTTATAAAATCTATCACTTAATTATAGTTATTTTTTAAAACTACCTTTGCAGTGAAATTTCTCCTAAATTATTTTCGTTAAATCTAGTTAAAATTCACAAATTTCATATATGTATGAAAGTTCCCCTAAATTATACTCATTAAATGTAGTTAAATTTTTCAAATTTCACATATGTATAACTTTATGTAGATCCCAACTATGGGGATTTGAGAAAATAACTTATACTTTACCTACTAAAACTAACTTTGTTTAAACTTTTCATTATTAGAAAAGATTTTAATATAATTATGTCAAAACTATAACCTTTATTTTATTTTTCCAAAATTTCAAAAAAGTTATCCATTTTACTTTTAAACACGCATTTCTTCCTAGAAACAGATCTGCCATAGATGCATCCACATTTATTTGTTTAAACTCATCCTATTTGTGTTTCTGCAGTTCAACATTGTTTTCCAAACAAAAAAACAAAAAGAACATAAACGTATAGAAATGAGCTCTCTAATGCAGAACCAGGTTCATCAGTTTTACACTTATTGATCTAACAAAACTAAGTGTTATCTATATATATATATATATCACACTTGCTTCACAACACTACATTTACACACATTTGAACTTGCTTAGACATTGACATGATCATACCAGTCTATGACATTCATATACACTACAAACTTAGATTATATAATACGTTTTCATATCATGAAACTCTTCGAACACAACTGGTATAGCCTTCTAATTCAACACCTCACGTAAGACCGATGGCAAACAAACTATGGGTTTTTCCATTTTTTCACTCTGCTTAATGGCATGGAGCTTAAAGAGAGCCGAACCTGCAACTCTCCAAGCAAAGCCACAATTCTTGACATTTCGATACCCCATTGCATGATCATAAGTTATATTGTAAATTGCGAGGGCCTCATTGTATATATCCTCAGTGTTCCTTGGACTTTCTTCAAACTCCGCAGCTCCATATAGCAACTGAAATTCAAACAATGTTAAATCAATAAGCTGCTGGATATAAATTGAGTATAAAAAAAGAATTTATTGATCGTCACCTGTTTATATCTCTTGGTCACTACATTTGCGGCATCATTCTTTGATTCATCGTCTAAGTTCATAGCCTCGGTCATCTCACATCTGTACTGAGAATACCTCTCACCCCACAACTTCATGCAGGATGTGGGGATTTCAACATCGAAACAAGGCAATTTCCAGACTTCCACATCTAGAGAGCACAATGAACACAGGTGTCATTATGTGCAAGCTATGTTTTTATCTGCTCACCACATAATGGGGCTGTTTGGTGCAGCAGCTTATATGAGCCGCTTAGAGCAACTCCAACCATGCTATTCCTTTTTTACTATCTAACTGTCTATCCAAACTAATTTATGATTGATAGTGTTTTCCAGTATGCCACATTAGTGCTAGAGATGGAGGGAAATAAAATAGAGGATTCCTTGTAGTTTCAAGAGCCTTCAATGGCTCTCAAAATGTAGAGCAGAAAAAGAGGGAGCTAAATTAACTACGCATTTATAGAGCCCGTTGAAACAGTAAAAGTTAAATTAGCTATTTTACCTAACAAGTCTCATTTGAAGAGCCCATTAGTAGACAGAAATAGCTTATTAAATAAGCTGAGAAAAAACTGATAATCTGAAAATTGTGGGAGGTGTTTTGGCTTCTACTTCATGATTATTAACTTTCAGTTTACAAAATACTGCACCAAATGGTGCCCAATATTTTGAAGAACTCTTGCAACAGGAATATAAAAAAATAAAATAAAATAATAATAGTAAGATATCGAAGGCAGAAAATTTGTATCCAGTGATCTTAAACTATTTTGTTATCAAGGAATTTAAGTGCAAGGATGATTTGCAGAATTCTCACCTTTTGCTGAGAGATCTTGAGATTGAAATGACTCAACCATCTCATAAATAAGTCCTAAAACAGAAGTAGAGTGATACTTATTTGGCTTTCCCATGTAATGTGGAAATTTTTCTGCCTTCAATTGATCTGGAATTACAACCTAATTTCAAAAGAAAAATAGAAGGTTAAGGGAAAGAATTGCTAACATCAAGATCATAATTAAACCAATCTTCTGAAATTGAAACTTTCTGTAATACACAACTGTCAATTATACCACTCACCAACTCCAATACCAATTAGAATCATGTTGTTAATTAAGGTCAAACTTATAAAACTGATTTGAGATGCCCAGTTAAGATGACTATCAATTCCGCTTAATAGAATCCCATCCTCCACATTACACGCTGCTTTTCATTATTTACCTATGAAACCTCAAAATCAAGAGGATCTAATATGCCAGTGGGCAGTGGCAAAAGCAGATCAGTATCACACTTCTGACACAAGGCAGAGCAGATATTGTGCCTATTCAAGATTTCAAGACAGCACTAGTGTTATCAGTTCCATAACCAAGATTTCAAGGCAGGACCTGTGTAACTCACATAAATGTTAAAGATAATGACCCTAATTTCGAAGCCCTTTTTGTTTTATTGTTATAACCACAAACAAATGGTCAGGATAATCATTCAGCAGTGTTGGTGGCTGGTTGACAGTAACCTGATCTATACCATAAAAGCAGGAGCCTTGAAAGTTGAAATCGACATACAGCTCAAGACGAAGGAAGAGCCTTGAAGTGAGTCTGACAATGAAATGTAGGGGGAAAATTGCTAGTAGTATACATAGGAGAATTGCAAAAGTCATAGCCAAGTGCACCATAATTGAAGAAAGAAAAACAGTGACCCCAGACCATTAACACATCTAAAACTCAAATCTTCATCCAGAAAATATAGAAACAGTGACCCCAGACCATTAACACATCTAAAACTCAAATCTTTATCCAGAAAATATAGAACTTTCAAAACTAACCTTTTTCCCACTCTTGGGAGCATCTAAAGCCTCATAGTATATGTCAATCAAATGGTGCATTGTTTCTTTCATGCTGTCCTTCTCATCAGAACAGCTGTCCCCCAATATAAGAAGTCGATCCATAAATGCCAGCCAGCTATCAGCAGCCACACTCATATTGTAACTGGAATAGCAAAAAGTATTTCAAAACATTAGCAACATGGATAAAAACTTAGGTATTTCTTATTATGATAAATCAACAGTGCAACACAGGTTTGTCTAAATAAAGAGGTCGTGTCCTGGAGCGATGATAAGTTCTATGCTAACCACTCCAAGTGCAATGGCGCATGCTCTAGTCACAGGAATCAACCTCTCCACCAAAATGTGAGGGTAAGTCTACCTACCTACTATCTCTCCTAGACTCCGCTATAAGTGGGGGCCTTGTGCACTGGGTACAACCTTTCAGTTTGCTTAAAAGAGCATACACTAGCAACTTTAGTGGACACAGATGGTTTACAACATAAAAAGGAGTCCATAATCTATTTCAACCTCAAAGTGCTCTGAAGTAGCATATCTGATATCAGATTATCCAGTCAAGTCACAAGTAGTTTATTAAAGGGCAACTTGATTCCTCTGCCATTTGGGAACAGGATGACGTTAGCCAATATTATTACAAAGAATATATGGGGTGGAGGTGGGTTTGGGGGATAAAACATCATGCCAGCTTCTTTTGACCATCTCAATGAGTGACTAGGTAACAATAACTAGGTCTCATTAGCAAATAACCAAAGATTACAGCAGATGTTGATAGCCTGATGGTTACTGCTTCATATACAGTTAAACCTCAAAAGTTCTTATATCATGAATGCAAACTCCATTAAAATCAATCTGTAATAAAAAAAAAAATAAACAATTCCAAACTTGTAGTTTCTGGAGGTCATGAGCTATGACACCAACACACAATAAATAACCATGAAATTCAAAAATACCCCAGCCCAAAGAAATAACCTTACAAAATGTTGAGCCTTTAATTCAGTGGTCAACCAGTAACTAGGCATGTAGCATGCATGCTCATAACAACATTCAAAAGTTCAATTAATCACACAATGAGATGATATGATACAAGCAATAGTTCAAACATAGCACAAGGGTAGCTCAATTCATAGATATACGCTTTACAGCCACAATAAATGGCTTTGGCATTAAACAGAATTCCCACTATGCATAACTAAAATGTTTCAGATTAATGAACTGCATTTGCAAACCTTTGCTGAAACCTTGTTCTTTTGAATAGCTGAAAAAGCTCATGTTCTAATTCCTCAGCCGAAAGCTCACTGGGTTTTTTTGTGTTGCATGCATTTGGTGTTGAATAGATACGGCTCCAAGGATAACTCGGTTTGAAATGCCTCAACAGCTGAAGAATGCAACCAAAAACATTCAATTGTGAACAAATTTCAATTATACCAATCTTGGACGATACTCGAGCTATAAAATAAACTTCTCCGTCAATTTTTGTGCAAACATTCTGCCATTCAAAATAAAACAACAATAGACCACTTCAAAGATCAGTGACAACATATAGGCCACGTTTGGTTGCAAGACAAAAAAGGCAGGATTGGATTTGTTATCCATGGGACCCATTTATACCACATTTGGTTGCACAACTTGACAACGGGATAGTGTGGTCGGATTGGACACTATATTCCACAAATGGGGGACAACTCAATCCTATTGGAGGGGTGGGGACACAGTGGGATAGGATAAAACTTATGGACAAAATTACAAACATACAATGATACAACCAACCATGGCCATAGGAAAAAATCAAAACTATAAGAATGAAATTAAAGGCTGAAAGAAATGAATTTACAACAGAGAACATAATGCATGTTGCGCCCAGAATTCCTGACCCCAGGGTACATTCAAAGAAAACAAAATCTTGGAATTGAAGAAGAACAAAGATTTATGCGGTACTAGTGCACAGCAGATGGTTTAAGACTCTAATCTAATGATGAATATGGTTCAAAGTTTAAAGACTAGCATAGAGTTCGTAAAATATAAGACACAAATAAAAAAGAATTTCCAAAGAAGCCACCAAACTGCATAAACAATAAATCAAGCATTGAGGGCACTGGCAATACTAATCATTCTTGTGTACAGTATCTAAATTATATAGTTGCTGTGAGCATAAAAAATCATAACCTTTCAAAAATGACAGCAGATTGAAGAATCTCCTTAGTCTTCAATCATATAAATGCAATACAAGCTATAATCTAAAAAGTAAGCAACCAGTGAGGGAATGTTTGCCTTGACAATGAGATGAAAACAGACAACATACTGATACTATATGTTAAGACAGGAACATGTACACATACAAACATAGATCTACATCACGTGACAAAATGAGTTAGGGGTAAATGTAATATCAATGTTTATGTTCACTCAGCATGCGCATTGAGGGAAAGAATAGACATGTCAAGTATATAGTTGTGGTGATCAGCTTTAGTTTTTTAGACTGTAGAGTGAAGTGAGATCACATGAGTGTCTATTTTCAAATATTTATGTGTCATAGCACCAAAATATGTATTGTACAGAATCATATACCTGCACTTTTTTTTTTTATAAATGAGCATGTACAGAATTATATACCTGTAAATTTTTTATAAGGAAACCTCAAATATAATCTAGTACTCCAAGTGCTTCAAAAAATATATTATTGTTAACTACTTTCAAAATTCATGGTCTAAGGCCCTCACTGAGAAGTAGGACGTCCTACAGTCTAAGGTTGATATATTGGGTTCAACTCCCACAATAAACACACTAACATTTGGATGAATTCATAAGAATAAGAAGTCAAAAACCTTTTAGAAAAGTCAATCCAAAACTTACCCTTGCCTAATACTTGAATTCATAAGGATTTTGCTCTAAAATATAGAAATCAGGGGATTAAACAGTAATTGGCTTCCTCTTGTGACAGATTAGGTATCCTAGAATTGCTAATGTGACATCCTTTTGGCTGAAGCTAACCTATGTCACATAATAGTGCAAGGTGCAGCACTATTATAGCTTGCATCCACAAGAGTCCCAGAATATTCCAATGATGAAACTTATTCATGTCAAACAACATAACAAGGTTTACTATTTGAAGATTCTCATCAAAAAAGAAAAGATCCATAATAACATTAAAATATGTATTTAAAAAAATAAAAATAAATAAATAATAATAAGAAGAAGAAGATCAACTGCAATGCTAGTAAAAACACACAATGAATCAGACACGGCCCCACTTCTGGACTCATAGAGTACCTATGAGATCACCACTAGTCCCAAAAGCTTATGCTGTTATGGAATGGGTCTGATAATGTATATCATTATCAAGTTATCCAACACCTTCCCTCATGTGTAATCCTGTCTTACACAGAGAGATGCAAAAGACATACATAGAGAGAAGCATAATGCAAATGGGAAACAAATGCAAACATAAAGACTAGAACTCAAGGCCTCCACCAACATGAGATCACCATTAGTCCCAAAACTTATGCTTTTATGAGTCCGATAATGTATATCAAGCTATTCAATATACCAACTAATAACAACCCACATACATGCAATTTTTGAGAAACCAAGATAAATAGTTCAAAACCCAATATACCCAAAATTTAGTCTCCTCTTTTGCGCTCAAGGAACTACCTGTTCCATCTGTCCCTAATGCTCTTTCGAATTATAAACAGACTGCATGCTCATGCATGGCACCCACTAGCAGCATTCTCAATATAAAAAATTTCAATTAAAAACAAGACATCTGAAGAAAGAAAAAACATACTAGTAAGAAGGAAAAAGAGAATGGAGTATAAATGTCAACCTCTGGGTTCCTGGAGACCCAATACATATCCCCATCAAAATCACCATTTGCAATTTCACTGCCTACTGATCTCCGGCCCTTAGTTGAGAAAAATATAGCATATTTAGCATTTCCGACAAAGTCTTCCAAGGCCTTTACATAGACAGCTTTCAAAACATGAATATCCCCAAAGTGAAGACCTGGGTTCCTATACACTAATACTTGCCCTGAGATTTGACCGTTATCTCTGCATATCTCATTAGAACAGGAAAAGATAAAATGATTACCTTCTTCATTTGTTCTGAATTCTTATATAACTGCATAAATAATCACAGAAGTTTCAATTGTAATTACTTACATAAGAAACTAAATTCTTGTATGAATACAGTTCATTTATCAACTTGTCTATCTCCACGGAAATTTTGGTTCAAAATTGTTTGATATGTGGCAGACTTTGGAGAGTGGATATCATGAAATTCAATTTTTACTTTTTGAGCTTCTTATTACCATCAAATAATTTGCTCAACTAAGTTACAGTTAGATATTATAAACATCTTGGCAATGAATATACATACAGGATAACACAAACTTCATCACTATTTAACTCTTCAGTTGGATCAGCTGTGCCCATTAAGTAAAAGCTTTCACTAATAGGAAGCTTTCCTCCTTTAAGCCCCTTTCTTACTTCCTTTGCCAACACAGACAAACGATATTGTATGTATGGCTCATCCAAAGGAGTTCCAGATAAAATCATTTGTGCCACAGTAAAATTGTCATCCATTTCTCCATGATTAATGGCAACTGCATGAAGAAAGACATAACAAAATACTACTTAAAAAGAATCAGCCATTATGGGAAAGAGGGAAACCAAAACATAAGGACAAAAGGAGCTAAATTATGCAAAAGGGATTGGAGTGGATCACATTCTGGAGATGTAGAAGGGAGTCATGAAATAAGGGAAAGAAAAATTAATAAAAAAATAAAACAAAAAACCAAAAAATATTATCAACACATTAATAAGTAAGAAAATCTCCATACTTGATGTCAACACAAGCAAAGAAACAATCAATATGGTCTCATAAAGGGGGGAAGAAAGGATTAGAATTTACAACAACTTTACAGAGTAGGAAATAGGATCTTGAAAAGTACCTTTTAATGCGGTACGCTTATTGGAGTAAACACACTGAGCATCTTCCAAAGCATTTGTCAGTATATCCAAAAAGTATTTTTTAGGGACCCCTCCATAGCTAAGAAGTGCAATCAAGTTCCTTGACAGATAATTTTTTTTGGGTTTATTGCTGGTAGATGAAAAATGAAAAATGAAAAATGAAACTTGGGAGTGTGTTAATTCTAACAATAGAATTCAAACCTAAGATAATTTACTTGTATGTCCTATCTCTATCATGATAAATTATTGTCACCCAGTCAAGTATTATTATGATACCAATTATGGAATTTGTAACCCCAATCCTGAAGTAAAAATTAGATAAATTTGTTGGTCTAACTCAAGTACAATGACAATTTGAAGATGTAGAGCATTTATCAACATAAGATACGAAATACAACTAATTATATCAAGTGCCACTAGTACATGACATAGTGATTGTTAAGTCACAAATTTTCCAAAAAGACTTAAGCTTTTAGGAAATGAGCCCAACAATGTCTGATTCATTGTGTGTTTTTACGTATTTGTGTACATGCTTTCAAAAAAAAGTCCATGTCCAAGAATCCTTCTTAATTTTAGTGTTCATATATATTTGGTGGTCGTAAAGGAAGACCTCATGGCAATATCTCCACTGAATTAAGAAAATTTAACAAGTGGCAATCAAATTATACATGACCACGGTACAAAGTCAATTTTCCAAAACTGTAGCAAATAAAGCACATACCTAATTCCAACTATCTCCAGTGAGTTAAAAGTTTGCACATTTGAGAGTCTTGAATCCGTCTCAACCTTTATCATTGAAGACCTAACCTGAATTGTTTTTTCTGGAAGCTACAAATATTTGAGAAGAAATTTGTCAACTTAAAAAAAAAAAAAAAGCCTAGAGGCAAGAACTTAAACCTATAATTCAAAAGTGAGTACAAGATTGTCAATAGCAACAATACAGTGATTAACAAAATGTTTACAACAAACTCTTCCTTCTTGGAACATAAGGAAACTAATTGATTTTTCCCTAACCTGTTATCCTCAGCTCAACTCTCCTCCACCATCAACAACTCTATTGCCACTAAAGCACACTGTCAGATAAATGGCTGGATTTCTGTTTCTCAAATTTCTTTCTAAAGATTATGTGACCCTGACATCATGTTTGACAGTCACAATCATTTGATCTCAGTTCATATATAATAAGCAGGTCAATGTGAAGTGGTATAAAAAATGAAGGAATAATTTGTGTTGTGAGGGCAACAAAGATAAGGTAACCCGTGAGTAGTTATGGGCCAAAACAGGGTGAGCTCAAACATAGTGGGAGCAGAGCAAGTTTGGGTAAAGAAGTCAGGGGTGGCAGCATCTGGTACCTAATCTAATTGTCATTCCTTATAATTCATTCGATTTGAGTAAAGTAAAACAGGGATGGAACCAAGATTTTTACCTTTGGAGGATGGAGGACACGGGAAAACTACAACTATTAAGATAAGTGGAAATGATAATATTTTCATTTCATTTGCTTAAATTCTTCATCCACAAACTTAATAACAAATAATGAATAAAAAACAGAAAATAGTAACTAAAAATTTATCCTTATAACATCCTCAACCACAAAAATAAAAATATCAAATTATAACTATATATTTTCGATTTTTCATAGTATCACAATTGCTGCCAGCCAGTTTGGAAGGCCAAGTAAGTTTGGAACTAAATAAGGTTTGACAAGGCCGGACTCTAGCAGCACCAGCAGAATTAAAATACGTCCAAATGCCAAGATTAAAATACATTTGAAAAAATTGGCAACATATACCTTTCTATTGACAAGAAGGGTACCCTTGACAGCACGTCCATTGTAAAACAAACGGATCTGCATCAGCAAAGGCTGCAAAAAATGCAAATGACAAGTCCAAAAACTTAATTAGAAAGAGTAAAAAGATTACATCATCCATAACGTATTAACATAAAACAAATAATAAAGACATACCGGTTCCCTGGTATGAGCTTCCGACCCTCTCAATTCCAGTGATTTCTGCTCACAATTGGCATGATTAAGAAATCTCTAAAGTTAAAAATGTTAGAATCCAGATAAAACAGCAAGAATATACATTAAATGTAACCAGCCATAAAATAGGAACAAACACAGCAGGCACAGAATGTCACATCTGCTGCATGAGATGATTCATGTGCACCATACCCATCCACACACACTACCATACATTGAAAATGCAATGTATGTTCATCAAACATAAACAACAAACTTTTGATGACCTTTTCATTGGATATTATTTTAAAACATATTAACAACCTTCTCCATTGTAACCTTGTAGAGTAGTAAACCGATACCTTCTTTCCACATTTGTATCTATCATTGAGAAAGTCTTAAGAAACTGTAAATGCATTCATGCAAATTTTTTATTTATACAATAATATATTTTTTTTAATCAACGACAAAGAGAAGATTATCAGAAAAGAAAAGAAAGGAGATACACAAAAGGTGCAAGGATGACAAGGAGTCCACCAAATGGGAAAGGGAAAAAAACCAAAAAAATTAAAAATCACATGTTAAAATCCACCTCACCTCACCTACTTCACCCACTTAAACCTACTCCACTAAACCTAACCCACTACACCACTACCACCTTACCTACACCTACTCCTCACCTACTACACACTCACCCTCTCCTATATATAGGAATCATTGTAACCATAACATTAATATCAATCAATAATACAATTCTCTATTTCTCTTTATAGATTAAATTTTCTACATCACACATGGTTCTCCAATCTCTAGTTAAAAATAAAGGAATTCCCTTAAAACTAGAAGGCACTGAAGCTGAAAAAGTAGCCAAACAAAAAAAAATTATTCCATAAGCGCCGAATGTTTTCTAATTTTATCTCAAAGACTCTAAAAGTTCCTTTCCAACCCAATAACACATTTCCAAAGAATCCAGGTCTTTGTCTTAGGACTGAAGCCCCTAATAACAAGCACTCTCCACCATAGGGCCAATATCAGTAGGCAATGCAAAAATAGGTGATCAATACTCTCCACATCCCTCTTACACATGACGCCATTGCAGATATAAATAGCAATTTGGTCCCCTTTTGATAAACATAATCATTGGTATTAAGTATCTTCTGAGCCACGATCCATGCAAAAAAGCACATTCATTGCACTCCAAATCATTTTATGACGATCAAAGACCAGCGCATTTGGGTCATCAATTATCTTATCGGAAAAGGATTTACATGAAAACACTCCCAATGAATGAGAATCCACAACTTGTTGGGATTTATACCATATCCCACCAACGCGAACGGAAACACACCCACACACATCAAAAAGAAAAATAATCACACAAATTTACGTGGTTCGGCCCAAATTGCATACATCTACCGGAGTGAGAGCTTCCACTAATGAACGAAATGGAGAATACATATGGGACGGCCAAAACACTCGAAACCTACACCATTACCTGAACCCATACTCAAGGGTAGTTGAGCCCTTGCTCACCTTGGTGCCCACAGTGTTTTTTGTCTCACCTCTTGCATCTCTATTTGTTCCCTCAACTTAACCTCTCAATCTCTCTTAAAGAAACCCTATAATCCACATGACTATTTATAATAGTCCATCCATGAGAATCCTAGCTCTATACAATCAGGAAACCAAATCTTACATATATTAAGTTTCCTAGTAGATTCCAGACTCGACTATCCTAACCCAAATATATGTATAAACCAACCTAATAATTTTATAGGGCCCACATTTATCACATGAGTAGAGTAATACTAACACAATCTCTTGTCATTGGGTTGAATTGTTCAAAGAAACACTTCAAGGATAGATAACAAAGAAGCAAATTCATAAACTTCATGATCATTAAGATTTCTGAAAAAGAGAAAACAATATCGCACCAATTATGCTACAAAGCAAACAATATACACATAAAATTAGCCTACAAAGCTTAACAGACCTTTCCAACTAAATCATGGGTAATGAATTTGCAACTCAGCCATTCAAAAAGAAAGGGGGGAAGGGGGGGAATGCATGTCATAGCTTGTACAAGCATGTGATTCTAACAAGCATCCGTCTGAAGTGGTCCCTCTTTTTGACTAAATTAAAACATATTAACTTAAATAATGGCATTCCCATATGAAAATTAAACAAGATAATTATTACTGTACATTTATATAATCTGGGACACTGTTAGCAAATAAATGGACCTCTTATCAAACCACCAGAACGTACTCTTTCAATATATACCCTTTTCCTAGCTAGGAGAAATAATGGGAATTTCTCAATCTAAAATTAGAGGGTAGAAATGAGTGATGGAACCCATTTTTAATAAGACTTTCTTGCCCCATAACCCATCAAGGACAAATCTGAACCTTGCTTGGATACTTCAAGAGTCCACAAGTATTCACCAACAAAATTGGCAGATGATAGTGTTGAGGGTTTCATTAAGAAACTTGCTATACAGCTAGAGTTTCCATCAAAGCTTTTCTCTTTGTGGCTCATGTGCACATACACAACTTGGACATAAGCACACAAGTATAACTGTTGTCCAGTCTGGACGTTCGAGACTTCGCACATCTTCAGATCAAAAGTAAACACTCTCTCCCATGACAAAAAACAGTAGGTATTGCCTCTAACATCATTTCTGAAACAAACAGCCAATTGATACTAAGGTTCATCACCAAGTCAAACATCATGTTCATCCAACCTTCTAAGGGGCAATTAAAAACTAGGTAATAAAACACATTAAAATTGTAAAAGCTCTCATACAGTGAGACGAGGGCCAACTAAGATCTAATCTCAACTGAACAGTCCTGGAAGTTCATGAAACCGGGGCCAACTATGTCCTTACATCCATTGATCTCCCCTATAAACCATGGCCAATCTAAATGAAAGAAATGCAAGCAACTTGCTAAAAACAAATTTAGATTCTCTTTTTGTTGCAAGTGATGATAACATATGCATTGAGAAATAGACCAAGGGAAAAAGGAAAAAAGGCATCTTTAACAATTTGGAGAGAAAAAGTAGTTTTCCAAAAGAATTGCAAGTTGGGGACAGGTAGGCTTCTGGTCCTGGGCTTCATAAAGTAAAACTTGAAGATCAGACATTCCATGCGGTTTTTTGTTCGATTTTAACAATTAGAAAAAAGAAAAATGAGGAAAATGGTCTTATATACGAATCTATAAAATAAAATAAAATAATTTGTCTTGTGACTATTGTGGTCTTTATGTAACGATTTATGGTTATGATTTTCAGTCACACCACTATATAGGCCGTAATAGGTGGCATTATGTAACAGTTGTGGCCGCTTTTTAAAACCATGATCATAATTTGACAAAATCTTAATGTTGTAAAATTACATCAAATTCACTATGAGAAAGAAGTCCTCCTTCAAATTTCTCTCCACATCTTCTTGCTGCAGTAACTCATTAAAAAAAAAAGGGATGAAAGAAAGGGAGAAGAATTCTTTTTCCACATATAGCAAAAATGTGTATAATGACCAACTAAACGGTGATGCAATCAATGCATTATTCAAACTAGTAATAAAACAAATGGTTAAAAATGGTAGAAAAGTTTACTTATCAAACATTAATGCAACACGAAGTATTTAATTGAGAGAGGCACCAATGACGGGGAGTCACTAGATCTATTTTGGTCAAATACAAGGCTAAAAGGATTTATGAATGAAAAGGTAGAAGCAGATGATATGCAAAATAAAATAAAGTAAAAAAAAGTAATTCTCTATTATTCATATGGACTAGAAAATATGTGCTCAGAGAAACCAGTCAAAATCATTAACCTCAAAATTTTCATCATTTATATACTTTGCTCTGGAAAAATCTTTGGGAGCCTTCAATGCAATATCTACTGAAATATAGCCAGTTCCGTCAGTATGTATAAGAGGTTCTCTATCTTCATTATAGACAACACATCCATTTTCATCCTGTAATTACGGAAACACCAGTTATTTGGCTTGACAAATGGATTAAAGAAAGAAAGCCTAGATCTACATGGTGGTGCAAGTGAATATTAATGGAGAAATGAGAAAAAAGATTATACTCGGCAAGGAATATCTTCAATATCTTTAATAGTGATGGAAGCAAGATCGACTTGAAGTTTTATCGTCTTTGATAAAACAAGGGAAAACCTGCATTCTCAACAATGTATAGAAACCCCATATTTCAAAATAGAGAAACTCCATACTTCATAAAATGGCACTTATATATGGATAACAAACAGGAAGGTCTAAGCAGTATACCTAGGCATATATTTTGTGAGGCTGGAGACCATTTGTACATGCATGAAGAGACACCTTGCTTCATAGACTGTTTTCTTAGACAAAATGTAAGATTCTGTCTCGTCGCAAGGGGCAAGAGACTCCATTCTTACAAAGTAGCATTTTACAGATGATGAAGTTGGGCTTTTCTTCTTCTCCTCTTTGCCTCCATCTTTAAACACTGATCAATAACAAGAGTGAGACACATAAATCACCATGTAGGGGCTCTTGATAAATTAGCAAGAAAATGCATGAAAAAAGGTATGTTTTCAGAGTTATTCCAGTTACCACAGTAGAAAATCACTTTGTTAATGTCTCAGGCAAGATCCCGATTGAGAAAAAAGACAGCATTTAGTTTCAAGATAGGAAACTAGCGACTAGGGCTACAAATGAACTGAGTTGTTTACGAACAAACTCGACTCGTTTAGTAAACAAGCTAAGCTCGAGCTTGAATAAGCTCGGCTCGTTTATCTTTATTTACATATTAAATATATTATTTGCATATTAAATAATATAAATAATATTAAAAAAAATCTTATTGAGCTGAGCTGAAGCGAGCTCAAGCCTAATTACTTATCGAGTAGAGGTCGAGCTCAATAAATGAGCTCGATAAACAAACAAGCCGAGTTCGAGCTTAGCAAAGCCGAGCTCGAGCTTAGCAAAGCTCAGCTCAGCTCGGCTCGTTTACAGCCCTACTAGCAACCTGACCAAAGATATTGGGCTTGTTTGGTTTGTTTTTAGGAGAGTTGTTTTTGAAAAAATTTTTGGGGAGAGAGTTTAAAATTTTTTTTGGCTTGTTTGGTTGTATATTTTGGGAGAGTTGTTTTTTTGGGAGTTTGGGATGATTTGATATTTTGGGAGAATTTGAGTAGATGTGTGTGAGAAAAAAAGTGATTGAGAAGGAGAGAGGAGAGAGAAAAAGTGGTTGATTGATGTGTAAGAGAGAGAGTGTGATTTTGGAAATTTTTTGAGAAAAACTCAAACCAAACAATTTTTTAGAATTTTTTTTCTAAAACTCATCTCCCAAATGCAAACCAAACATACCCATTGGTTCTGGCTTAAGAAATGCACAAAGAACAATAGGGCTGTCGAGGCCCAGTGTTGAGGGCAGTAAATTAATAATATAGCTATTAACTCAAAATCTGTAATCCTATAAGTTTAATGGAGGACCATGAACAAGGATCCGTTGAACCACAAAATCTTCAAAATGAATGAGACAATAACTCCATCCTATAAAATTCACTTCCATATGTTTACTAAGAAGACCCATAAAATGATCTAAATTTTAAAATAAATAAATAACAAATAAAAAGAAGTAAAGAAAGAAAAGAAAGGAAAGAAAAAAGAAACCTAGATAAATCACTATTAGGCCCTTTTGTGAAGAGCTCTAGATGGTTGATTGGATTATATTGTAAGTTTGGAGAAGAGAAAGAGTAAGGGAATGAGTTAGACTTCATTCCCTTTTATATTGATAATTAAGCAATTACATGCATAGTCTAATTAATCGAAAAAGGAATGAATAAGAATACAACCAATTATTTTCTATTCTAATATTTCCTATTCTAACACTTCCTTCAAGCTGGTGTGAAGATATCTCTCATGCCCAACTTGTTGAGAATGCCATGAAAGGATTTGCTCCCTAATCCCTTGGTGAGAACTTAGTTGCAGGAATCGTGCAACCAGGACACGAATCTTCGTAAGAAACGAGATTCTGCATTTCTTAGAAAGAAACGTGTAAGAATCGCGTTTCTGTAATGAGAGAAACACGATCCTATCCAAGATGGGATCGTTGGTGGCTATGAACAAAAACCCTAACTTGTTGGTCAACAAAGAGAGAGGAGAAAGAAGGTGAAGAACCTGAAGGTCATCTCTGGTCAGGGTATGCCCTGCTTCTTTGCTTCATTTTTCTTGTCTCTCTGGCAGATCGTCTCTCTCTCTCTCTCGCTCTCGCAGATCGTCTTTCTCTCTCTCTCTCGCAGTTCGTCTCTCTCTCTCGCTCTCGCAGATCGCCTCCTTGTTGTTGATCGCCATCGTCTTCTCCTTCGTTTTTCCTTCTCTCAGTTGTGCTCTCTCTCTCTCGCCTGATATGTATGATTCTAAGTAATAAATATATAAGATAAAACATATATAATCTTTATATAAATATATATATATATATATATTTAAAAAAAAAACATTAACAAATTATTATTTAATATATATAATAATAAAACATTAATTAAAAAAATAAAAATATTAATATATATAATCTTTATAATATATATAAATAAATAAAAACATTAACACATATAAATATTATATATATATGAGTATATATTATACATATTAATTAAAAAAACACAAATAAATATATGTAAAATAAAATAAAAAAAATTAACAATAACACATTATTTAAAAAATATAATAAATAAAAAAATAATTAATGTGTATTAAAATAAAAATATTTATAAAAAAACTTCTAATGTGTATTAAAAAAAATATATATATATATATATATTACCGCTCCCCGAGGCGCTCCCAACCTAAGAAACTTCTATCGGCTCACGCTTTCCCACTCCCGCTCCCGCTTCGTGCAACTTAGGGTGAGAACATCAACTAGTTGGTCCCTAGTCTTCACAAATGGAATAGATATGGTGCCACTAGTGAGTTTTTCCTTGATGAAGTACCTATCAATCTCCACATGCTTAGTTCTATCATGCTGAACTGGATTATGAGTGTGGGAGAGAGGTGTGGTTAGAGGTAGTCTGGGAAGATGGCGGGCACTTCAATGGCCTAAGATCACCGGAGGTGGAGAGGAGGAGGTCAAGGCAAGTTTAGAAATGGAGAGGTTGGCAGTGTTAGACCTTGAACACTAATGTAGAGTGTGAGAGAGGGTGTTTAAGCATGAGACTTAGTTGTATTGTTGTTGTATCTCGCTGCATATACGATACGTTATATAGGCCATAGGAGTATTGGAACCCAAGCAAACTGTTAAACAGGTGGTTCGTTCTCTTCAACTCTGCCAGAAGTGATATAAGTCCTTCTGCTGTCTGTGGCTTGACGGCAGGTGGAGAGCAACGTTTCATGGCAGGCGGAAAGTAACGTTTCGTATATGCATCGGATGACATGAACATAAGGTTATTGTTGCCTCTTCTCCAAGCCTGGTCGAGATGGAGTTGTCTTAGCAAGAAGACAACCATATCGACGATCCCATGACCTCAACCGCCAATCCAGTATCCTCTGATGATCCCAAGCAGTAGTGCCTGGGTCCTGCTCTCCACCTAGGCATCCAAGTAGGTGAATGGGCTAGGGCCCACCTTAATGTTTAGGAGAGCCAGGGACTCGCTTCCAAGCAACCAAGTAGGAGAATGGGCCACAGGCTTATCTCAATGTTTAGGAGAGGGGCTCCCTTCTAAGCGACCAAGTAGGAGAATGGGCCGCAGGCCTATCTCAATATTTAGGAGAGACAGTGTTTATCAATCCAAGTCCAAGTGAACGGGGGGCTGATTGTATTGTTGTTTGGTATTGGAGTGAGGTATGAAGGACCATGGGCCCTACGGGGCCATGGTGCTGCCTGTTGCAGGGCTTTTCATATTTGGATATATTTGGGCTTATATGGATGCTCCCGCTTAGGCTAAGCATATAGTCTTGGTTTTACGTAGTGCCTTGGCACATGGCTCCCGTAGGGCTCGCCATGTATGCCCGCGTGGTGCCTTATTGGTCTGCCACGTGGGTGGGGTTTTGGTGATGTGGCACCTGTAGGGCTTGCCATGTATTGGGCTTGATACAAGTACCCACAATAATGCCCCCCCTTTACAGATGCTCTTATAGCTAATGAGAGTATTTGTACATGACTGTGTTAGAAGTTTTGATAATATTAGCTCATGTAGACAAGTATTCAAATAGAGTCGTCTAAAATTAGGCTTTTGATACAATGGGAGGATTTGGATTGCTCATGGAGAGTTTACATTTTAAGTTTCATCTGGTGCGAGCCGGTAGGATGAAGATGTGGGCTTGTTGGGCGATGACTTGATTCCACGGAATCTCCACCACTTCACAGGAGATTTCAGCTTCGTTCCATAGACACCAAATTCCACCCATCACCCATTCCATGCCTTCAGGAGGGGGGGCCATGGTCTTGGTGTTAGGATAGCCCATGATTTGGCTCATGAATTGGGTCTTGTTTCCCCTTTTTTTCGTGTTTGTGATGATGACGAGGTGGAAGCGTCCGCTAGAATGTAGGTGCATATAGTGTTGGAGGAAGTTAGGGCGAGCGACGCCCTCAATGTCGAAGAAGAGGATGTTGAGCGAAATATTGTGGGGGATGCTTGGCTGAGCATTGCGGGAAGTGCTCTCTTCTCCCATGTTGAGATTTGCAAAGTTCTCTATGTCCCACCCACGTCCCAAATCTTCATTTGGGTTTTCTAATGGTGCTGACATGATGGAGATGTGCCAGTCCAGATCTCTCTCTGTCGGTCTTTGCGAGAGGATATTAATGCGGATCCTCTCGAAATGTGGGATTAATACCTGATTTGCCTGGCAGGTGGATCCCTGGAGAGTGAGGTTGATTTCTTGGTTTAGCAAAAATCACGTGTGGGATGGTGGTATTGTGTAGAGTTTTGGAATAGTTAGTGCTTTGTACCATCCTCTTATTTTATCCCAAAATTCTTCCAGCACCTCTACGGCTGTATAAGTGGATATTAGGTATTGGATCCAAGGGGATTCGAATAGCAGATCTTGGAATTGCCATGGAGGCATGGAGAGCATCTTTCAAAAGAATTCACATACCAGGCGGCGGCGGTGGTGAGTGGGAGTGGAGCTTGAAGCTTTATATTTTGAACCACTTTGGTTTAGAGCCTTGTTCACCAACCGCCAAACGGTGTTATCTCGGTGCCCCTCTCCTCCGAAAGCCATTTAGAGAGAATGGGCTGTTAAAGTTGAGAGGAGAGTGTTAGTGAGTGGATATGAATTTGCTTGCGTTTTTTGTGTTGTTGTCCTGTATTTGCTCTCTTATAAAGACGGGGTTATATTGGGAAAGAGGGGGTGAATTTACTAACTTTTGCAGCTTTTTGTTGGGAAAGAGCAATCTATGGAGAGGACAACTCATCAATTGGAGTTATAGGTTTAGAGCAGACCATTAATAGCTGCTGATTTGGAGTTGCCATGGTAGCGTGCGATAGCTTTTTGGAGAGTCTAAGGTTG